TTTTTTTTTTAAAGACAAGGTCTTTCTAATTTTCTGAGATTCTCACTAATTTTTCAAGGCTGGTCTGTAACTTGCCATCCTCCTGCCTCATTCCTCCCGAATCACTGAGATTACAGGTGTGTGCTAAATTTTATTCCTTTTATTTCTTATTCTCCTCTTATTCCTTCTGGCTAAGACTTTCTGTACTATGTCAAATATAAACATGGAAGCTTGGTTATGTGTCTGTTACTGTACTACCACTCTTTTAGAGTGCTTGGTACACAGCAGGTCCTTAATGAAGAGTCTAGTGACTGAATCAGTTATTTTACTTTTCAACTCTATAGTTTCTAGCTGGGTCTTTTAAAATAATTTCCATCTATTTTTATTTGTAGTTGACAAGCCATTGTCACAATAGATTCCTTTTCATCTTTAAATATGAAAAGAAGATTTCCTTTGCTTCTTTGAATATATTTTTAATGACTGCTTTAAATTCTTTGTTAAGTTGGCTATCTGGACCCTCCAGATAATTTCTATCTTTTTTGTCTATGAATAGAAACTTCCTGCTTTCCCCCCATGTCTCACAATTATTTTGTTAAAAACATTTTTGGTAACTTATTGTTTTAATTTTGGATATTGATGGGCTTGCCCCTGTAACTTCTTTTTTGTTTGCATGTTTAGTGACTTGGCAGGACTATTTTAATGAGTTCATTTGCCTCATAACTTGGCAACTGCAAAGTTGCTCCTTAGAATTGGTAGTGCGGTCCTGCTCACACAGGTACCTTCTCCAAAGGTGTGCCCTTTCCCATCTACCAGGGCAGGCACCACATTACTTACCAGCAGTAATGCACTTCCCACAGTGTATATGCTTGTGCACAGGAACACTTCTCTCTGCAGTAGATGTATTGGGGGAGGGAAAGGGCTAGCTGAGGGGTCAGGGCTGAGCAGTCTACCAGCAAGGTCGGGAGCTGCTCAGCTGCTAATCTCTCCATCATGTGTTTGTTTCAGAAACAAGAGCCCATAAGTGCTGTCTCTTTCCTTCCAAGAATAGCCTTCTCATGGGACTGCTGGTTACTCTAACTCTGGGTACTGTCCTGTCTTAGCTGCCCGTTGCCCTTGTTACCCCATGGCAACTTGGGGACAATTTAACTTGCTCCTTTGGGTAGCTTTTAGTTAAGCCTAGCAGTGATCCCACATATCATATCAGCCCTTGCTCATTTAAATTATCTGTATGATATGTCCTGTCCACAACTTAGAGAAATAAAAACAATAGCAGTGAGAAAAAAAAAAAAGAATTGGTAGTGCGGACCATGCACACAGTCACCCTGGGGTGATA